AGAAAGCACTGAGATTTATTTTACTTTGTCTAGGAGAATACAATATAGCATTTATTTTTTAAATTTAATCTCCAAGTTTATAATGTATGAAAAATTTGTATTAGGCATTGTATTACATAATATTATTATAACTTACTTGTATAACTTACTTGAAGACGGACCAAGTTGAGAAGTGAATAAAATAGGAATTGCTTCCAGATTTAAATTCGTCTTTTCCAGCAGAATTCATAACAAAATAATATAAAATGTTTCCAATATATTTTATATTTCCAATTTATGTTAATTTTATCAACTTCAACCTTCTCTAATTCTAGGATTTGAATACAAATTTCCATTGCTTCAGTTTGTAAGAAACCTGCGTAAAAAATAATAATAATATTTTACAATACAGGTGTACCGCCCATGTGTTTTATTTACTTACCTTTGAAACGAAGTAGAACTTCTCCAAATTTGTTTTAGGACAAACAAACAGTGAATAATAATTTTTAGACTAACAACTAACAAAATTCGTTAAAAAAACATTCTAGACACTCTAAAAACTTTAAAAATATGCCCTGGGAATATAAAATCACAAAAAAATGTACAAACAAAACTGACAGTTCCCAAATGCTTGTTGACAGTTGTGAGTAATTGGCGCTGGTATTTAAAATAGACGAATCACATCAAAGACCAGGAAGAAAGAGAAAGTAATAGATAAAACGGTTCATATTAGGTTCTTTCGTTCGCTGTTGGTGCAGTGTACACCAGTGTAAATTACACCAGTTACACCACCTTATTTACCTTAGTTTACTTCCCTCCTTATTCCTTATACACATTTCGAGTGTAATTCACTCCTACTAAATAGCTGGTGGAGAAAATATCCACCAGTGGACACCACATCGCCGACAGAAAGGTTTAGTGGATTTTACACCGGGCCGAACGAAAGGTTTAGTGTATGTTGGTGTAGTTCATTCCTACACCAGTGGGACGAACGAAAGAACCTAAAAGCTTCAAACCTTAGATAAAAGAGACCAGAGATATAACATACACCGGTTTTAGAACAGAAGTAAAAGTTGGAAATGCTTTTGCCAGTTCTCCCACTTTATACACATAAATTGACAGGTTGGCAGCGGATTTCACCGAAGTGGACGCGATACATTGGCGTACAAAATTATTTTATAGATGTTAATAACAATTTCGAGTAAATAGTTTAATAAATTGTGAATAGCTGTTGAAATTTTGTAAAATTATAATTTGAATATTATAATACATGTTTAATAATTATTTATAATCCATAAATACATGCGATTGTCCGGTTCCGCTGATAACAATTTAAAATTACTTATTCTATGAAACGACACTGGCAGGTAAACATTACTGTGAAATTCTCGGAGCCGTCCGACGTGGTTTGACGTTTACCCCCTCTCTACCTACCAAAAGACTTTTCAACTTTTACTTTCTCTATAATCCTGCGCAAATGTTGCCAATTTCTAAAGAAGGGTTAACGGAGTGGGGGAACTGGGCGGCGACACGCGGCGACCCGAACTCTGTGACAGGGACCGGACTTTGTTTATTAGCAACTTAATGAACTATTAGGTTTGTTTAAAAGGTGTTTAATCGAATTTTGTATTATGAAATCAAATTATCGTGATTTTTTAATATCAAACAGATGCCACGACATTTTATGTAAAGAGAAGACCTTTTATAGAATATTTCGTTAGCGTTTATTTACTACGGACTTTTCTGCAAGAGATTACAGTAAAATGTTGAAATAGAATATATTGTTAATAGAGCAAAAAATGTTACTCATTGTCTACGAATATTATAAAAATAGCATGTGCGCAGGCTAATACTGCAAATCTACCCTTATGAGTTGAACATTATATTTTTTCTACGGCTATTACATATTATTAAAAATTAGTCAAAATGAGAAAATGCTGTTTTGTATTGTAACCTCAGAAAAAGTATATTAAGGCTTCTTTCTTTAAGAATATTATTTATTATAAAGGATGAGTCACATAAAACTCTAGAAATGCATATGTCTAAAACCAGATAACATTTTAAAATTTAAATCTATTAAAAGTCATTTGGTCGCTAGGGATGAGTGATTATCGAAATAAATTATCGATAATTGAAAATAATCGATTATTTTCGATTAATAGATTATTTTCAAACAATATATTTTTTGTCATTTCCTTTAAAATCGACTACTTGATTATCTTTGAAAAATCAAAAATAATCGATTAATTAAAAAACCAATTAACCGATAAATCAGTGTTTACAACATATAATATAAATAGAATTATCATTTATTTTAAATAATCGATTATTTTCAAATAAACCATTTTTTTTCGTCCATGGAAACAGATTATTCGATAATCTTTGAAAAATCGAAAATAATCGATTAATCAAAAATAATCAATTAATTAAAAAGTCGATTAACTGATAAATCGATTTAAAAAAAACAGAATGATCGATTTTTTTAAATAATTGATTATTTTCGATCAATCGATTATTATCAATAATCTATTTTTATTGTATTTCCTTTAAAATCGTTAATTCGATTATCTTTGAAATACCGAAAATAATCGATAATTCCAAAATAATCGCCTAATCGAAAATAATCAATTAATTAAGAAGCCGATTCTATGATAAATCGATTATTACCAATAATCTATTTTATTGTATTTCAAAAATATTTGATTAATTAAAAAGTCGATTAACTGACAAATCGATTTTCAAAAAAAAACAGAATGATCGATTATTTTAAATAATCGATTATTTTCGATCAATCGATTATTATCAATAATCTATTTTTATTGTATTTCCTTTAAAATCTATAATTTGGTTATCTTTGAAATACCAAAAATAATAAATAATCCCAAAATAATCGCCTAGTCGAAAATAACCAATTAATTAAGAAGCCGATTCTCATATTTCCTTTGAAATTGATTATTCGATTATCGAAAATAATTGATTATTAAAAAGCTGATTATCCAATAAATCGATAATTTTAAAAAAATAACCAAAATATCGATTATGTAAAATAACCGATTATATTCAATCGATTATTATCATATAATATCTTTGAAAAATCGAAAATAATCAAATAATTAAAAAACCGATTAAACGATAAATCGATAATTTTGAATAAATGTACTTTTTCTGTATTTCCTTTAAAATCGATTAATACATTATCTTAAAAAAAAACGAAAATAATTTATTAAAAACAGCGGATAAATCGATTTTCATTAAAAAATATCAGAATTATCGATATCAATCGATTAGTTTTGTAACCCCTATCGGTCGCTTGCTTTTATCTGAGCATTTAGTTCCAAAATTTAGAGATTCGGATTTTTTGATCCAGTTATCTTTGAAATCGCATTCGCTTGTATAATAAGTAAATATTGCTAAATTTTGGATTTTTTTTAGTAAACGAAAATTATGTTCGAGTTGTTTAGGGGTTTGTAATGTAACATTTTATTAACGTGACTGAGGGTTGATTCCACCGTTGTGTTAAACGAAGTTTAAAATGACATTTTTACATTAACACTGTCATTTTAATCTCCGTTTAACACAACGGTGGAATCGGACCTAACTCCTTTAACTTTAGTATTTTTTTTTGTTTATACTAGATTACTTTGTTTTAAGACTGAAAATTCAATGTCACTTTCGATTTGACCGCAAATAAGATGAACCTTGAAATTTTAAGTAGGTCATCCTGTATTTCATCTAATATTCTTATAAAAATACCTTATAAAAATAAAATTTAGCTAGCAACTATGATTCTTTACCTCTTATTTATCTACCAAAAAGGGCTAAAAACTACCTTTAGAAAACATTCTTATAAAACTATTTAAATACAAAATTTCGTTAGCAATAATGCCTATTTACTATTTATTTAAATTAAATGTTCAAAATTTTACCCTTTTGTAAATTTATGTAAGTAATATGAAATCTGATGCTTAATATTTATTGAAACCCCTTAATGCGGATCTGAAGTGTTCAGCCCAGAGAATCATGGCGCTTTATGTCAAAACGTTAATAAATATTTACCGCTGAAAACGAATATATTCATAACAGTAGTACTTGTATTATAAGTACATACAATTTTTCAAGATACATCGTGACATTTTGAACTTGAAATTGAATAACTAGAACACTTTAAATTGCTAAAATACCAACAAATAAATCAAAAAACAGCTGTCAATGGTGATTAAACTCAGGTGGAGGTGTGATCGCTGAATGGAAATCGGAGCAATTCGGGTGGCGTCGTGCAACAATGATTTTCAATTGGTGGGTTACTTTGGCTTAAAATAGACAGCATGCGCAGTGTGCAATGTTACATCTTCGGTCTCTTTAATCTAAGCTTCAAACACATCCAGACCGTTACTTATCTATTATTCATTTGTTTATCTGAGGGGCAGCCATTTTCCTATCTCCCCTCTTCATGTCTATGTATCCACCAGGGGGGCTATTTTCAAAGTCGAGAGAATTCATTTCTCTCGAGAGAAATGTCATACGTCAACGTAAAACAGTAATTTTTAGGGTCCTAAGGGCCAGTGTGAACTCACTGATTGTTTCTCACGGTTTATTTAGAGATAATTAATATCCTCCTAAGATTTTTAATCCTCGAGGCCTTTAAAAACAGCGTTTCCACATTGACGTATGACATTTCTGATGAGAATCTTGAGAGAAATGAGTGCTCCCATGCTTTGAAAATAGCCCCCCAGTGGTTTTACACCGGGCGCACCGGGCCAAACGAAAGGTTTAGTGTCCGTTGGTGTAGTTCGTTCTTACCTTCCTACACCAGTGGGACGAACGAATTGATTTTAGTTTGTTTGGATCCAAAATAATACCTTTTTAAAAATTATGCATTAAAAGTAAAAGAAATTAGAGACTTTCGAATTCATGAATGTCTTCACAATTTTAGATAGAACCTATGTTTTGCCTGGACCAAAATACGGACTTTGTAACAGTCACAGCCTATAAAAATAAAGGAAGAAGAAGAAAAAGAAGAATAAAACGCTAAACTTAGGTTATGTTTTTGGAAATTCGAAATATCAAAACATAAACAAAATGGATATTACAAAAAAACTATTATCTCTCCAAGAGATATCAAAAGCCCAACTGTCTAAAATTTTAAATTTAGTACCAAGCAAAAAGAATTTAATACTTGAACCGGACTTAATAAAACCATTAGAAAGAGTTTGTGGAGTAAAATGGTTAAAGTAAGTTTTTAAAAACACTTATTTTATTTCATAATCAGATAGTTTTAATCATTTTTAACTTTGTAAAGTGTAACTATGAAGAATATATTTGTGTTGAAATTAGTTTTATAATGGCAACATTAAAATTTCATTTTAAGGTGAAGAGTGAGAAAAAGTCCTTTATATCTCACAAGGAAAGTCAATGTTTAATTGTTTAACAAAACATTGAGTGCGACCGGTTTCGAAGTGTCATCACTTCATCTTCAGGCTCGCCATACTCTCCATCCACTAGGGAATACTACTTCACCTTAAAATTACCTCAACTCACACATGGCTACCCCCCTTGTCATTAAAATTTCATTTTGATGAAAATTTATTTTGTTTTAGGGGAAATGGTGTAGAAAAAATATTTAAATTAGAATCAACAAGTTTAGAGTCAGATACTCTCTCTAATTTTTATATGATATATTCCGATACAAGGGTTTTTAAGAAAGTAGTAGATCAAATAAGGTCACAAGTGAATATAGAAAATCCAATTAAAGACAAATATCACATAATTGTTGTACCAAGACATATATGTACCTTTGAGAATGAATTAGAAGAATTAGGTCTCTTGTACAGTGTAGTAAGGATTCATTCATTTCAGTGGATGCCCTTACATCTTGATACTGGACTTCTGAGTCTTGAAATTCCAGATATATACAGCTCTTTATTTGTTTACCAAAATTTAACTTACTTACCAACTTTATCAAAATGTCTTTGGCATTTGAGCTTTGTATTAGGAAAGCCAAGGCTTATATTAGCAATTGGTCAGTGTTCAAATTCATTAATGAAGCAATATGAAGAGTATTGTGAGGTTCGAGGAGAATCTGACAGGTTGGAGTCTGATGTTGGTGCTTTAATTATAATGGATAGAAATATTGATTATACAAGTGCATTGTTAACTCCTGGAAACTATGCGGCATTACTATGTGAGGTACTAAAACAATTTTTAAATATTATTCTCTGAAATCCAGGAAACCTAAAAGAAATATAAATATTTATATTTTTTAATAATTATTTTAATCCCTATGGTACATTTCAAATGTATTTTGCAGAATTTTCATTACAAAAGGATATCTTGCACCTTTAATGGGTTTTCCAGGCTAACATGTTTATAAAATTTGAATATGCTCTTGAGAGAGTCGAATTAAGCATTTACTCCATCCTTGGATTATACATAGCATATACTTATGCCTGTCTTGTGTAATCCATTCTAAAAAAATATATAATTGCAATAAAAATCCAAAAAAATTTAAAAAATAAATGATTCACTAATAGGATACTAGAGCAAAATAACCTTGTATTGTTACTAAAAATTCAGTTCAGTCATATGATATAAATTGTTAAAATATGGCTTTTTAGGATTTTTCTCCATTAACAGTTAATAAAATAATAATTTTGAAATGGTAACTAATATGTAGGTAAAATATACAGAGTGTCCCGAAATTAGACGGTCATATTCTAACAGCGTAATCTACATCCTAAAATAGGAGTAAAAGGTCCGAAAACGTTTCTTTTCCGAGATACGGGGTGTTAAAAGTGCTGTCCTGATGACACACTTTTGTAAAGATTTTCTAAACGTTTAAAGATAACTAAGTGAAATTTGATACAAATGCTTACCTTCTTACGCTTTATTTAATGGTCTAAACCCCAGTTTTTGATCATCTTCATAGGTGGGTAAATTAGGGGGGCTTAGGGTAAAATTGCCCTAAGTTTTTTTTGAGTTTTTAACATTTTTGACTATAAAATTTGGAAAACCAATGTTTTCTTCATAATAAATATACTTCTGTTGCATCTCGCTAGGACGCACCATTTTCAAGAGAAAAGCACTTGAAAATTTCATGATAAGTTGATGTTATCTTATTCGAAAGTGTACCAATAATTAGTAGGCCTGTGGAATCACATTTTTTTTTTTACTTTGAAAAATAAGTGACTAGAAATTTTAGAAAATATTTACAAAAATGTGCCATCAGGACTTTACTTGCAACACCCTGTATCTCGAAAACGAAACGTTTTCGGACCTATGTTTATATGAACTTTTACTCCTATTTTAGGGTGTAGATTACGCTGTTAAAATATGACCGTCTAATTTCGGGATACTCTGTATATTTTACAGCTTAATATGACTGAATTAATTTTTTGATATCACGTATACCTACCTAGTTACAAGGTTGGTGCACACATATTTTGTTTTTAAAGTATCAGGCTTATTCAGTTTAAAATGTGATAATTGTTCTATGAAGACTAGAGAAAAGGAGCCGAATCGACATATTCAAAATACGGTCCCAAAAAACGCATGCTAATGGAGCCTCTATAATTAACCGCATGGGCGCTGGTACTGCATACGGTGTTCAAAATATATGGCTTCTTATGGGAATTATACATAATTTTGTCAAAATAATAAAAATAAACTTGTTTATAGCTAAATAAAGCACAGAACATACTGTTGTATTTATTTCTAAATAAGTCTTGCATGTTTTAATTGATAAATTATTTAATTTTATCTATATAAAATACAAATTAGGTATGTATGACCAAATTCGAAAAGGTTACTTAAAAGTACAATTTTGTGGCAATTTTTTTTTTTATTTGAACCAATATATAATTTTAAGAGTAAAATAAAACACAGTTTACCAGATTTTTTTTATTGTTGTAATACAAGTATAACGGGAGATTTGGGAATGTACATTAATTTCAACTTTCCCCTTTTAATTTTGCTAACAGTACCATCAGTAAAAATAGTCTCATAATATTTGATATCTTCTAAAAAGTATAGAACAGCATTATCTCTAGAAAGTGCTTAATCGGCACTAGAAACGATATATAATATGCTGCCACTGTTCTAAACATTTAGTATCCCATAAAAAATATTTACAATGACACAATTGGGGTCCAAAAAAAATAACAGTAGCAACTCTTTATCTAACATTAAAACTTTATAAAAAATAAATTTGCTTTTCTAGTAAGTTAAATTTAATGCATAATTATTGTTGTTTGTAAATCAGCATCTATGACTGTAAAATTTTATATTATAGAAACTTGTAATAAAATAAACTACACTTCGTAAGATACATATTGTGACTAGTTTACAATAAATATTATATTTAGACATAAATACATTATTTTACTTACATTAGAAGCTTTAAAAAGACATTGAATTGATTTCTTGTGTTTTCTTTAGTTTTACATTTGATTTTTATCCTGTTTTACAATCTGGAACGACGTATCTTGCTTTGATGTTTTTTGTCACTCATGTTATTTGTACTCAGGTACTTTTTTCACATTATTGTGATTCTTTTCACCAATTTTTTAAAAAATCACTTCATTTTACATTGACTTACATAGAAAATTGACACCGCTGTCATTCAACATGCCAACTACAGTCAATTTCGCGAACTTTATAAAAAGAAGGAGGGAGATTTGACCATTGCCGGTTCTCCTCCTTCCCTCTAGTCTTCATAATTTGTTCCTATGAATTTAATCTGAATTTTTGGTGCCATGGAACAAAATGCTTACTTTGACTTTTTCGAGTTATAAAATTATGTGGTTCTGGAAAACCCATTAAAGGTGTGAGATATCAGGAAAAAATGCAGTTTAGAGTGAATCCACATTTTAACAAAAAAAAAATGTTTTTCATAAGTAAACAAGCCTTCTAAATACAAAAATGAAAAAAAATCTCAGCGGTCTCATAAAATTTACCCCCTCCCCCAAAAATTTTGATTTTGCATATTTGCAAAATAAAACATCACCAATAAAAAAATGATGTGTTTATTCATCAGAAAATATAAAAATAAGGATAAATCCGCCATCGGTCGAACGGGCTCTTTTTAAGGCTCTTTTAGACCCTCTGAAACACATTTCAAAATACTTTTTTTTGCCCTGGAAACGACCAAAAATATGTTTTTTATGTATCACATTTTAATCAATTTCTTGCTATAGAATATGCTAAATTAAAAAACTGAATTAATTTATCTAACCTATACGGCCTGGAGACATTAGGGTTACCTCGCAAAAAAAATACACATAAAATGAGAAAAAACTTAACTAATTTACCTAACCTGTATGACCAGGGGCCATCGCAGGTTGTTTCTTCAAAAAAGTATATAAGAAATAAGAAAAATTTAAAAAACCTAACTAATTTACCTAACATGTGTTTTAGAGCCATTGCAGGTTATTTAGCAAAAATTATACAAAAACCTAACTAATTTACCTAACCTGTGCGGCCTGAAACGATCGCGGATTGTTTCGTAAAAAAGTATACGTGTATATGTGTCCATTGCATCTCCAACGAAAATCATCCTCCGATTTTGCACATGGCGTCAATACAAAATAGCCACCACATTTATCCACTGAACATTTGTTTTTATTATTTTGCGGTATTACACCCAAACGCTGCACTTGCAATATAATATTATTTTTTCGCCATGTAAATTAATTCAATCCATTATCAGAAGAAACGCAAAAACTAAAAATTAAAAAAATATATTTCAAATCTACTGTCACTTTACAGTATAGCATGTCATTATAATACATTTAACAATCGCAGTAAACTAGTACACAAACGTCACATCACCTGATTGACCATTGCAAGTGAAAAAGTGAACATTTTTAAGAGCGATATCCATGCAACACCTAACAGCAAATTCAGATTTAGAACACACTGACAACTTTCAGTGCATCTGAACCCACTTTGGCAACGTTGCTCTATTCCCAGGCTTACGCTCCCTTCAATTTATTACTTATAAACTATAGATGATTTAAAATATTAAAAATGCCGATAAATCGCAGGTCCGGTCTAACAAAGAGTATTTCTGTTTTGTTTTCTCGTTTAAAATATCTTTTAAAGGTATAACCTGGTGTAACATTTTCGAAAAATTTTTTTTATAACTAATTTATTTATTTACGAAATATATTTTTAAATATACATATGTACCTATTTCTACATTTTCTGATATACAGGGTGTTTGTTGGTAAGTGTGAATGATTTTAGGGAATGTTTGCCGAAGTTATTTTATAAAAAAAAAACATAGATCGAAAAAGTCAGTGGCGCAGTACTTTTTTATTAAAAAAGTGGCATTCTCGCACAAACGCCACTGGTACAAGTAGAAATATTTGGAGCACCCCAAAAAATACACATTTGCCCCTTCAAAGTTTTTTTGCAAATTTAGAGTAAATATCTTTAAAACTATTAAAAATAATTAATAAAATTTAATAAATTAAAATTTAAACATTCTGTATCTCGGAAACGAAGCATATTTCGACCTACTTTTATAGGAACTTTTTTTAACAAAATAACTTTGACAACAATTTGCAAAAATCGTTCGTACTTATTTACAAATACCCTGTATAAAAATACTTTTTTTAAATAATAACCCATTTGATACTAGTTTGTGCAACAACAGTGGACAATCCACTGGAGTTGTACAGTATGTTTTTTTCTACGACCCACTAACGAAAATCTACAAATTTAAAGTATTATTTTAGGAAAAGACAAAATAATTAATTTTAAAATAATTTATGACTTTACTAATTTGTGAAATAAAATAAACATGAAAAAATATTTCATTTAATTAGTCCCCAGCCCAGAATTGAACTCGGACCTCTCGCGTAAAAGACAGATGCCGTATCATCATTTTCACCTCCACATTTAAAATTTTAGTTCTAAAAGTAGTAATTAAATTAGTTTCATATAGGTAGTTTAATTCAAATTTAGGATTTTTTAAATTGTGGTCTAAATTAAAATTATTTATGAATCCTACGCAAAAATAACTCATTTTAATGTATATTTAATCTCAATTCCTAAAAAATATACTGACAATTAGTTTGACAGAATTGTCACTTATTTAAAATTTTAAAAATAATAGTTGTTGGGTGTCCAATATATAAACTGTGATTGGTGGATTTCATTTTTTTGCAGTGTTCTCACTACCCAGA